GTAACAGCCATAGCCCAAAAGATCAACATATACTAAGATCGAATTGCACATTACAGGCAGAATCTCCAATTTCAGTTGAATCAGAAACATTTCTACCAATCCATCAAAGGAGAGACTGCAATGAACCAGTCAACATCTGACAAAGAAGAAACATTGCAGTTCTGGGAACAGCTATGGGACAATCCAAAGAAATACAACAAGAATGTAGCTTGGATAAAGAAGGTAGATAAGAATAAAAAAGAAGCTGAAATGAAAGAACTTGTAATAACAGCAGAAATGGTGGATAAAAGGGCAAGGAAGATTAAGAATTGGTCAGCACCAGGTGAAGATAAACTCTATGGTTTTTGGTTGAAACATCTGACTGCTCTGCACCCACTCATTGCTTGGATAAAGAAGGTAGATAAGAATAAAAAAGAAGCTGAAATGAAAGAACTTGTAATAACAGCAGAAATGGTGGATAAAAGGGCAAGGAAGATTAAGAATTGGTCAGCACCAGGTGAAGATAAACTCTATGGTTTTTGGTTGAAACATCTGACTGCTCTGCACCCACTCATTGCCAAGCAGTTTAACAACATACTGCAAGGAGATGACATTGAAGATTGGTTGACATCTGGCAAAACCTACCTGATAATGAAAGAGCCAGCAAAAGGGGCAGCACGAGGCAACTACAGGCCAATGCCCTGCTTGCCAACAACTTTCAAATTGCTAACTGGTATGGTAGCTGATGCAGTCCAACAGCACCTAGTTGAAAACAAGCTCTTTCCATCTGAGCAGAAAGGAAACTGCCCAAACAGCAGAGGGACAAAGGAACAGCTCCTAATTGAAAATATGATTTTGGAAAACTGTAAGAGAAGGAAGACTAACCTGAATGTAGCTTGGATTGATTATAACTCCCTGCCATAGGACTAGATTATCAAGTGCCTAGAGATAACAGGAGTCAGTAGAAACATCAGAAGCTTTGTGCAAAGATGAATGGCACAATGGAAGACACAGTTGCTGGTCA